TGAGTGCTGCTTCACAGACACGTTCTCAAGCTATGTGGTCTAGAAATAGATATCCGAACCCTGCGCACATCCTGCGCTCTCCCACAAGCTGACAGAGGAGCAATAACAAGGTCTGCTCGTGATTATGGCTGCTCCGGAGTCTCAGGATTCTCCTCCAGGGAACTGCTTTAAAGACAGTAAAATAGAGGGAAAAGTTCTGCAGCGCACCGAGAGCTTTATCAAGACCAGGTTTTTATCAAAACCAAGATAGAAGGCAACTTTCCAAGAGAGCATCCTGGTAGAGAAACCAGCAGCCTTATCATTTACACTGTCATTTACACTGACATACTTTCAGAAATGAATGTTCATGGGAGGTAGGAATGTATTATTTAATAAAAATTTCTCTGGGCCTCTATGTCTTAAACTCACCACAAGTCACAAAGCATGAGGCTTCTGCCAACCAAACAGTGCAGTGGTGAAAGGAGTATGCAATGCTGTATACTTTCTTTTTTTAATATATATCATACAGCTATGGTTCTGAACAAGAAGTGAAGAAGAAAACAATGTCGAACATGGCATAAATTCCTGCCAGGATAAAAAAATTATTCAAATCAAAATTGTTCAGAATTTCACACAGAAAATCTTCTGGGGGAAGACGTGGTGGTCTTGCCTTTCTTATTTTAATTTTTATTTATTTTCTCAATTTTAACTGAGCTTTAACTGAGCTTTTAACTCAGCTTTAACTGAGCTAGCATTCCTAGTCTGGCCACATATGCAAGTCCAGCCTAGCAGCTCCAAAGTGACAGATACCAACCATATATACCACTAATATTAGCAGAGGTAACATTTACAGATTTTACATCACTGCTTTTGAACAGACTAACATCAGTAGCCTTAGCTGGTTGCACTGTGCCTCTGTATCTATTTCTAGCATGTAAAAGGGCAGTTCACTGAATATGGTCACAAAACACGTAGCTCCTGCCTGCAGACGTCTGGCCATAAGGCCACAAACATTTGTCAAACAGAATTAATTTTCATTTACTGGGATCACCAAAAAATACGTAACTGCTTTGTTCTTTTTGGCACTTTCCAAATAGCACCCTGCACCCAAGCTGCAGCCCAGCAGGAGACCCGGGGCACAGAACGATGACAAGTGCCAGTAGAGATAGCATCAAAAGAGTGACTGGGTTATTAGCAGCCCCAAATGCTCCTTTAACAGAAAAAAAAGGGGAGAAAAAAGTGTCTTACGCCGTATCGCCCACGGCATAAAATGATCTGGGCACGGCTGATGAGCACAGAGCCGTTTGCTCATGCTGGCCGTCATCTGAATATACCCACGTGTGTCAAGAAGGGGATGGAGGCAGAGTCTCGGGGCAGCCTGCCCCGCGCCATCCTCCACGTCCGCTCCGGAGCCATCTGCCCGCTGCTGAAATGTCACTACCTCAGCCCAGATTTAATAAGCTTGGTTTGTGTGTCACGGGATATAAAATCGAGACGTTTGACAGAACTGGGCCATTCCGCCATTAAAACTTTAGCATCGCTAAACTTCAGCATTTACCAAACTTAACATCTGCTTCAAGGCAGTAACTTTTATTCAGCTATCCAGTGTACACCTTCACTAACAAAGCAGAATATGTGCAGAGCATAGGTAGGTTAGGTTGGCAACCCCGTCTTTATCCTTTCCCACTGTACAGCTTCCCCGTTAAATAAAGGAGGGAATAAAATTCATCTTTTTAAAAGAAACACCACGGTAACTATTTAAACAGCTGAACAGCAGTGACTTGGTGCAAGATGGCATTTTATGTGCACATGCAGCTCTGTGTGCATTGACCCATACCAGTGCAGGCACTGAGAGCCACTGGAAGGCTCCCAAATTCTCGCAGGAGGGTTTGCAGTTGCACATACACAACCACATGCTTTGGCAACGGCGCCAAGTGAAAAATATAGGTTTGTGAGTGTGTGCTAGTAGGATTATTTCAAGGATAAAAAAGTTATTCATAAGATTTTAATGGAAGGATTTGCTGGCTTTGAGAATTAATAGCGGGATAAAAGAAATACTTCTCGCCTATTGGTCATTAGTTCATAACCAGTCCCCATCAGTAGCTAATGAAAAGGTGTTATTTGACAGCTACTAGATTGCTCTGGGGAAATAAGTGGGTTGTCCCAGTCCAAACCCTAAGGGAGATGCTCAGTCCAAATCCACTCAAAGCACCAGCAGGTTTATGGCATTTCCAGGCAGGCACAGAGGTTACACCACCATGAAACAACAAATAGCTATCTCATTGCTGGGGAGAAGATGCTTCATGAAGACGATTCACATTTTGGAAGACCATGCCAAAATCCTCCTTATTAGACTTGGAATGTATATGTAAGTAAGTAAAATAAGGCTCTTCTGAGACAGCACAGCAGCTGCCCCAGCTTTCAGAAATATCCTACTCTCCACAGATCATGTTGATTTCAAATTGGTGTGCCTAGTTGTTTGCAGTTTTGGAAGTCATATAGTTATTAAGCATTCAAATATGAATCAGGGAACTCAGCTTTTAAAATACCAGTGCTTTGTAGGTGTAAACTGAAAGGGATTTTGTTTTTTCTTAGTCTTTTTTTTTTTTTTTTTTTACACTTCCCTGAGAGACCAGACACTATCTAGCCTGACCTTGCTACTATGGTCAGTTATATTACTTAACTGGGCTTTCCCACAAAAGACTAATGATTACCATGACAAAAGAGAGCGAGCTAAAGGCAGCTGACATATTCGTAAAGTATGTTGCATTTATACTCAAAATATTTAAAAAATGAGGACATAACTACCTTTTTTTTTTTCTACCCACTCCAATCTTTTTGCTCATTCTGCTTGGCAGACTGTGCCAAATTTATGTTGAGGCAGCTGGTGTACTTCAGGTTGCCGGAGGCCCAAGACCTTAAGATGCTAATAAAATTGGAAAAGATTAATACAGCTGAGCAGCTCTGAATAACCCTCTTGTGCAGACTACGACGATAGCGGCTAGCTGTAAGGTGGTTCAGCAAATTAGGTGGTCTCTGCATTTTCACTCTTTTTCTTGTTTCATAAATACGCATCATGCTTGAACCTATGCAAGGGATAGTCAGTAAGGCAGAGTCTCCAGTACAGTCTTCAAAACGTGTTCGTTAGCTGGGCTAACTAAACTAAACTAACAAGGGAACTGAAGTGTTAGCAAGGAGTTATCTAAGAGGTACCAAGGTCACTGACATATGCCAGCTCTACGTCCCTCCTCTAAAAATTAATAACTAAGTGAAGAAAGGACTTTAATTCATTCAGGATGGAAATAATCCCCAGCAGGATCAATCAGAAACAATTTATTCTTTTAGTTCTATCACTTATTTGTACGTTAAGTGGTTCCCTTCCTGCTGGAGCTTAAGCACTTTTGAACGTGACACCACTGCTTATATATAGATTTAGGAATCTAAAACACAGCTCATAACTTTACTGGCTCTGGGCATGATTCAAAGCCTATCAAGGTGACATATTCTTCAAGCAAAACAGTATGTATCTGATTAAGTAATAATATATTAGATCTATTTGACATCCATTTTCTTGTTTTATGGGTATCATATCACAAAAAGCATTCTTGTTTTATTAAAGCATGCAAAATGATATAGTAAGAAGTAGTTTTTTTTTCTTGACAGTGAAGATGACGTTTGTTTAATACAAGAGCACGTGTGTATACATGTATATATGGCCTTTTTTTTTTCTGAAAACCATGATGTATAAAAGGAATTTACATCAGGTTACATTGCTATTAACACTCCAAAAATGTGTATAGTCTCAGATAAACTTTTAAAGAACAGATTTCATTGCACACCTTGTGATTTACTTACTGCTTAGAAACATATTGAAATGTTCACCTTGGTCATTACGCTTTAGATAATTTTATATCAGGAATATGTAATGAAATGCTAAGTAAATTTCCATGTTAGGCACTTTCTTTTCCATTCAGTCTTAAGCCACATTTTATATTTTCTGATAAAGTAGTGTATTAATATCTACTCGTATTTCACCAGCCAGTCAGCAGAATATAAATTCACTATCTCAACATACTGTT